GGCGCGCCGCCCGCCTCACTGGCCGCGTCGTTGCAGGCGTACAGCTCCCGCCTCGCGCGGGGGGCAGGCCCTGTCGGTGGACATGGAGGAGGTGGACATGGAGGAGGCCCCTCTGGTGGCCGGGATGTCCAGCCCCGAGGATGAGATCGCGACGGAGATTTTCAGGGCAGGGAGTCCTTTCGCGTCCGAAAACGTCGCCCTAATGGCCCCGGTGGTGGCGAAGGATGAGGAAGACGAGTTCCAGGTGTTCAAAGACGCCTACCTGGGCCCCGCTGACCCCGAAGGGCCGCTGCTGCACGCGTTCAACCCCCCGCTGAACGCGGACTGTGAGGGCGACGTCCGGGTGGAGCTCCTGGCCGACGGGGCCGAGGTGGAGCACGAGGAGCTCCCGGGGGGGTACCCGGGCCTCCCCGGGCTCCACCCGCTGGAGGACGCAGTGCTGCCCGCCGCCCCGCAGCTGCCCGTCTACGATGAGCACTTCCTGTCCTCCCTGCTGACCCTCCACCCGAGCCCGGCCGTGGAGCCCCTGAGCGCCTGGGCCAGGGACGGAGCCGCCCACGCTGGTGTCCAGGTGATTCCAGTAAGAGCCGCAGTGCCCCTGTGCCCACCCCGAACAGACCGGGTGTCCCCCTAGGCTTTTCCTGCGTCCGCAGCATCCCGGGGTTGGCGTCACCCATTCCAAACGGGGCACGTCCCTTCGCGATCCGAGACGCACCCGCTCAGCCAAGCCCTTCTGCCTGGCGGTGACCTTGTCCTGCGTCCCTGTCGGCGGACATGGACCTGAGCTAACCCTGCAGAGCGCGCGACGTAAGAGCGAAAGAGCTAGAAAGTGTGTGTGCCCAGTCGCTGCCATCACTGGCCTTAGGAAAGAAGCCCTGTTTTTGTCAGGTAGCTAGTATCCGTGGGGAAAAAAAAGCAACGACTGAATTTTCAAGAGCTGGCACTTTACACTTTTGCCCTTTAGATTTTATAAGGGTTGTAATTTCACAGCAAGTACTCACAGCAAGTATTTATGTTTACTGATCCCTTAAATCACATGCTAGACCTTCCAGCTGCTAGTAAGTGATTGTTCCTCGAGCATTGTAATAAAAATCAGAGCCTGCATAAATCCCTGCAAATTCTCAGCTAACTGCCCTCTCTGCAACAGATAACCACTGGTAATTTTCTGTTTTGTTCTTGCTGAAACTAAACAGATCAGTTAAAAAAAAAAAAGATCCCAGGAAATGTGTGCTGCCTCCCCAAAAGGATCTTGTCTGGAAAGCCAGGTTACTCAGCCATTCAGTCATTCTAGTGAGTTATAAATCAGGCCTTTGTGGAACACTTTTGAGTTGGTGTGGAGAAGGCTGAAAAGCCTGGCTTTGTATATCATAAGCCATGGTAGTGGGGGCTTGGATTTCTGCTTTTCTCGTGTCCTTTTACTGTAATCACTGCTCTTTAGTGTGAAAGAAAGACAGGGAGGAGAGGCTGGGGCCTCCGCCAGCCTCTCAGTTGGACTTAGAAGGAGTACAGAGTGCGTCTAGGCCCACCAGCCTTCACCCACAGCGGAGGTCTCCGTCCAGGTCTTTTTCACATGGCTGGAAGTGTCAGGCATTCCGTTTGGCTACCAGGCCAAACCTGTGTCTCAGCACGTTTTCCCTATTGGTCCCAGCTCAGCCTCCTCCTGTACATGTGAACAGACATTCATCAGAACAGGAAGGGAACCAGCTCATGTTAAAGTAGTAAAATTCTCTTTAATATAATCCATTTCTAACCATGTGGGTTTGACAAAATAAATGAGAGACTATGTGGATGATATTTCTTTGGTTTTTTTGAATTTTTATTGGCTATTTTCCAATTCATTAATAAAATGAAAAAAGATACAGCATGGACATGTTTATAATTTAAACAGAGTGGAATTACCTTTCAGTAAATATTGAGGGTGAATTGCTAATTTCCTTTTCCTAGAAATTCATTTTCACATACTGACCTTTGTTTATATCTATTCTGTAAAAAAAAGGATTTTATTGTAGTGTAAGTAATTCAGATCTTAGTTGCATGGGGCTGAGGAATTGATATATTTACTGCATAAGTATTTGCTAGCTACAGGGAGATAAGTCAAATCTAAACTTTGATAACATATACATGACAACTTCCCCAAAGCAGAAGAAAATGTTTAAATTTCTATATTTCTATAAAATGTGAGATATCTAAATAAAACTATAACTTGAAATATAGCTAAACTTATATTTATCTTTTTAAAGGTTCATATGTAGATGCTATCAGTTGTGCTAAGGAAACTGCCAGTCTGTGATTATTATTTGTTTTGGCCCCAGATTTTATTAAATCAGACAATCTCCAAGTTTGAGTCAATACCCACAGTTCAGAAGGTAGCTATCTGTGCTGTCTTCAGAGTCCCCATCTTTTTTGAAGAACACTACAACTTGCCACCTGGCCTCTGGAGAACCCCCCTGTACTAACAGGCCATCTGGGCAGGCAGAGGTCAAGGACAGATCGCAATGTCAAGTATGGGTTGACTGCTGTTTCCCAACCCTCTTCCCATTCTTATCAAATCTTACAAAGAATCATTCTGATTTTAAAGCACTCAAAGCTGATGGTGATTTTTTTAAACCATGGAAACTTGTTAGTTTTTTTAAATTATGTTGATTTTCAGCAATATCATTGGCATTTCTCCCTATTTTTGGTAATTTTGCTGGTGTGTCACTGAGTTGACAGTTGATGCAGATGATAGCTTAAAACCACAGCTGGCAGTTATTCCCAATCTTCACTGTTTCATATTAATTACTGTCCTACCATTCAATGAGGAGAGCTCGGCTATTTTATTATAAATACATTAATATTTTAATACTATATGCAGTTAAATTAAATTATAAATATTACTATGACTACACTAAAAGTTACATCATAAATATTACTGAAAAGTCAGAAAGGATTTCAGCCAACTTGAGAGTAAACAGTCACCTAGAACATTTAACACAGCTGAAGGAGCCCACCCTAAGAAGGCTGACACAGGGTCCGCATTCAGGGGAGGCCTCAAGGCTGGCAGCTCCTTCAGAGTGGGGGGCTGTCGAGCAGCTCAGGGGGCACCTGGCCCGCCGGGGAATCCTCTCCGTTACTGATACCGCATTTCTGAACCAGCACGAACCACATCAAATCACATCTCCACACGCTGTGGGCAAACGGTTTTGGTCCTTGGGTCCCTCGTTTGGCAGCGAGGCTGGTCAGAAGGCTTGTGGCCCTGCCCGTTGCCCTGGAGGGATGATAATAGGCAGAGAGACACTAGGCCAGAGCGGGCGCCTCACCTTAAAAATGGCCCTTCTGCAGAGAACTTTGCGTTCTCTGTAAACTGTGAAACCCAGTGTCTGCTTTGTGATTTCTAAGATAATGGCTGCCTTTTCAGGTTGGAATGAAGGAAGCAAGTGGTGCTCCTCTGAGTGACGAGCCTGAGGAAGGCACTTTCCAGAACCCTCCTGCCCAGGAGCCCTGTTTCAAGTTCCCGCCATCACAGGAAGCAGAGGACGCTTCTGGCCTCTCTCTCAGGAAAGACTCCGACCCGATGGTCAGTATGCCCAAGAAAATGTGTCTGACTGACATTGTATTACATTTTGACCCTGAGTGTTACTGAGTCAACAGTAATAGTTACGTCCTTGTTTTTCATTCTGGTTACTTGTGAGTCAGCAGTTTGAGTTGTCTCATCTGTCAGAAGAGAGACGTCATTTCTGCTGGATCTTAGCAAATCACACAAAGATTAGGACGTTGCTGTATTGGCTGAGGGGGGTGATCCCAAGTCACATCAGTCGCTGCAGACCTGGGCTCGGCCTGGGGAGGGGCAGCCCTGAGCTGAGGGCCTCCGCACGTTGGTGGGCGGCAGAGCTGTGCTTCCATGGCTGCAGGGCAGAGCCTGCTCCCCTTCAATCCCATCTCCAAATTCCTAGTAACTCTAATGAACACTAATGTGCTTACCTAATAAGATATGCAGTCAGTAACGTCTGTGGTTCTTCATGTGATATTTTTGCACATTTGTAATTTCATGAAATTCTTCTCTCAGCTCTGAAGGGTAGGCATTATTATTATTATTATTTTGGTATCATTAATATACAATTACATGAGCAACATTGTGGTTACTAGATTCCCCCATTATCAAGTCCCCACCATATATCCAACTGCAGTCACTGTCCACCAGCGTAGTGAGATGCCATAGAGTCACTACGTGTCTTCTCTGTGCTATACTGGTAGGCATTATTATTATTATTATTTTGGTATCATTAATATACAATTACATGAGCAACATTGTGGTTACTAAATTCCCCCCATTATCAAGTCCCCACCATATATCCCACTGCAGTCACTGTCCGTCAGCATAGTGAGATGCCATAGAGTCACTACGTGTCTTGTCTGTGCTATACTGGTAGGCATTATTTTTATCTACATTTTATAGATAAGAAAACAGATTTGGCACATAGACTGCCTGTGAGTGGTGCATCTGGATTGGGGGTTCAGTGTGGTGAGGACTGGGAAGGAGGGCAGCCAGGCAGTTAGGCCCAACGCATTCTCATGAGTCCAGAGGACCCTCGATCGCCTTGCCCGCAGCAGCTCTGTGGTCTGAGAAGGGAGGTCTGGGCTCGAAGGCATGTATTTTGACTAGGAAATACTTGAAAATGAGCCTACCAGGAACTCAGGCCTAGCTGTGGCCCTCGCCAGTACTCGCCCGTCTGTGGTTCTACTGAGGCCCTCCGGTTCTGAGAGCAGAGCTTTTCCAGGACACCTGGCCCACGTGAGCAGGATGAGGCTCCTCCGGTCACACCGGACTCCTGAGTGATGTGAGCACAGCCCAGGGGGGTGCAGGACAGAGCCCTGCAGTGCACCATAGGCAGGCCTAGAGAGCACACTCCGCTTTCTCCTGGTTTTGTGCACCTGTGTGTGTGTGGTTGTGACTTTATCCTCTAAATATAAATAAAATTCCAAGCGAACACAAATGCTGGCCTCTTACCCTGTGTCAGGGCGGTCTGAAGGTCTGACCCTGTGATCAGCTCCTCATGAAGACAGGCTCTATGTGTGTTATTTCGGTCACATTGATCCTTTGTGCTTATTTGGGTTTTCCTGTCTAGGAAACCCCAAAACAACCTAAGATAGAAGCTGTAGCTTCTCTGGGTATTCATGGTTTTACCATCAGAATTAGAAGCTGTGTGCAGGCAAAAACCACGACGCCCCCTGGCCTTGGTCATCACTGTACCCGTGCGGCGGGGGCTCCGCCTGTGCTTTGCTTGGCTGATGTGACTGGCAGACGGACCCGCCTGGCTCACTGAGGACTTACTTATGGTCGAATCCAGCCGGGTGACCTGCGAGTCTAGACAGGCCCCGGAAGATTGGCACGGCTTCTTAGGGTTTTCCAGTTCTGGGCTTAATCTTTCTAAACTGAAGGAAATAAAACGAATGGACATTCAGAAAGTCCCATGTGCTAAATAATAACATGTATATATGTCAGGAAAGAGCAACCGTCATAAAACGGAAGATTATTCAAAGTCCATGACGAGTTGCAGAGGTTGAGTAAGGGGTTCGGAGCTGGGTCAGCTGGCTGGGTCTGAACAGGGCCGGGCTGGGCAGGTCAACAGACCCTCCCGGTCCCTGTGGGCAGTGTGAGGACGGGTGAGGGAACCTGTGCCACACTCACCTGACCCTGGCCCTCGCCTCAGTGGTCAGCTGCCTGTAGAGAAAGGCAGGAGCAGGAACCTCCGTTGGACACTGAGCACATCTCGCGCAGTTCCTGGGGCGGACGGAGGGTCTCCCTGCGGGGCCCCCAGGGAGTGTGTTGTCAGTAGAGTAAGGAATGGAGAACTGATCCATAGTTTGCCATTTGCCATTAAAACTTATATTCTTAATTAAAGCTGTTTTCTCAGATTTGAGTTGATATAGGTTAATATTACTGATCTTTTAAAAATGAAACCTGACCATTATTTTTCATTTTAGGTGATATGTCAGTTGGAAGGGGGCAGACAAATGTTGTGCATAGACAGTTCTGGCACAGGAGAACTAAAAGCATTTCATTTGGTTCCTCGGTATCAAGACCAAAATAATTATCTACAGTCAGGTACAAAGTGAATTAATCAAAAAGTTATGTCATATGCATGTCTAAGTTGGTAAGCGAATATGTTTGGCTTTATATAATGAAACAGTGAAATAGGCAGTTAGGTTATTAAATAGGCAGTTTGGAAGACCTCACAGTCTGTATTAGTGAACTAGGAAAACAAAAACAAATCTTTGTAGACTGATTGATGTACATTGTATTGATCGTCTCAGGTCCTTGGACAGCTGCCCCCACCTCCACTAGCTGCAGAGAGCTTTGTGACCACTTAGACTGACAAGTGGGTGCGCCTAGGGGTGCCTGGGTTGAAACATCAGCCTTCCCCAGATTGGGTGGGGAGTTGACTATTCAGCTGTGGTGTAAATTATATACACGTTAATGTGAACATTTTAGTTTATGAGAACTGTCACACTGCTTTAATCACCATGAGTTCTGAAATAACTACCAAATGTTGCTTTATCTGCCGTTCATTTACTCAGAAACTTCTTTAAATTGGCACATATAATTGTAAATGGCCTGTAAGTACCTGATTATCCTCAAATGATTTAAGCATGATTACAAAAAAGATTTAATGCCATAGTTTTAGGATTATGTTTACAAATGTTACACACTAATTCTTGAAAACTGGACATTTCTATGTGGACTATATACATAATTGTATTATTCTAAATCTTGAGTCAGAATATTTCATTATCAGACCTTTTCTGATCTTGTCAATAAGTTGTTTTTACTGAAGTAATTGACATGCCATATCATATCAGTTTCATGTGTACAGTATGCTGACCGGGCTCCGTAAGCATTGCGAACTGATCACTTTGTGTTCCCCGTGTTGTACATGCTAATAATTCGTATCAATATTGAATCCAGGTGCAATCTCAGCGGGCCTTTGGTGTCCAGGGCACAAAGAAAGAGTGACTCATATCCCACCCTGATAGCCTCTCTTCACAGGGACAGATCAGATGCCTTCAAGACACTTACCTCCCTGCAGGGCGGAAGCGGGGCTGGGGCTTTGGCCCCCGGAGGCCCTCTGCTGCACACCAGCTGTGGATTTTCTCGCTCTGTTCCCTGTAGGTCAGAGCTGCATTTGATCCTCTACACAGGCAGAGAGGGGTTCTTTCTTAATTCCCTTCCTTCTGGAACTTGACAAAATCTAATGCCTTTAGAGTCACAGGAGAAAGTTTATATAATGCTTTCAAAATGTATTTCCTTGTCATGTAATCCTACCCACCAGTCTCCTTTATTACGATGTGTACATATTAAATATCACTATAAAATAAATGCATCCTGTTACCGAAGTCTCACGGTGCCATCACTCAAAGGCTGCATAAGCCTGGAGCAGGAAATGTGTTCAGCTGGTAGGTAATCAGGAGGCTGAGACACATTTGTCCCTGCACCTGGATTCACGAGCACGGCCGTTCGCCGCGCTTGGTGTCTGAGGAATGTTTCTGACGGCCCCTTAGGCAAAAGAATACCCGTGAGTTCCAGCAGTTACGTAGCTTGTTCCAAACAGCCCAGTAAGTTAGTTCTACATCCCAGAAAGCTGGTAACCATTTGAAAAAGAGAATCCATGTAAATTGAAAGTAGTTCACATGGTGTCCAACAGATTTCACAGAATTCTGTGAAAATGTGACTCGTCAGTGGCCACCTGGCAAGTTTCCTGCAGCAACAGGGCACCTTGGCACAGCTTGGGAGCCCGGGCAGCAGCATGTCTTAGCATAGCTGACTGTCCCTGGGAGCCCCTGCTAAGCAGCTTATGACAAAGAAAAGGCATGTAATAGATTTTTAAAAAAACATTAGAAAGAAACAAAAGATTTTATAGAATAAAATTCACAAATAGGATCAAGATAAGTTTAAGTGACTTTGCACATGATAAATCCATGGTACATGATCATTGTACTTTCTTCCATGCTCAAGTGGAATAGAAACAGTCTATGCCATCAATTAATTTTTATTGTCTTCCTCACAGATGTCCCTAAACCAATGACTGCTTTAGCAGGAAGAGTTTTGCCAGTACCAGCAAAATTAAATCTCATTACACAAGTTGAGTCATTATTTTAATAAACAAATACAATTGGGCATTATCATCTCTTGAAATTTCAATTGTCAAAGTTGAAATTACTCAGGAAATATAATTTATCCCCCATTTTAAAATCAACAGTGAGACATTTACCAAACACTGGCTGCCCTCACCACTGCTCAGACTGGGGGGAGTGGGTGAGCCCCGTGCCGACGCGGTGGGGCTGTCTCCAGCCTCCAGACCTTTGACCTGCCGCATCTGCCAAAGCTGCCCTTTGTGGTTCTGCCACCCAGCAGCACATACCACCTGCTTGGTCCAGAACATCCCTCACTGTCTTCAGTGTTGTGGAAATGCTTTTTTAGAGTTTGAAATGCTTTCAAGAATACATCATCATAGGCATATATTAAATATAATTATGAGACAGATATCCTTTTTCCCTAAGTCTTCATATAAGATGTCACCTCCTCAGAAGGGGCTTCTCTAGCCCCCCAGTGTAGACAGCCAGCCACTGCCCCAGCACCTGCCTGGTCCTCTGCACAGCACTATCTCAGTCTTGTGGTTTTTGGTTTGTCTTTCTGCACCCATCCACGGGAGCGCTAAGTTCCTAGGAGTAGAGATTTTGTTGAGTCTTGTTTGTGTCTGGAACAAAGCCTGGCACATACAGGGCATTCGTATAGGGTGACCCTCAGTAGGGCGGATGCTGGTCTGAGCACTTGGAATACATTAGTGAGTTGATACTACACGGACCCCTGAAACAAAACACACGGCTGTACCCTCCTCCTGCAGCCTGTGTTTCAGTGTGGGGAACAGACAATAAGCAAATCTGATATTAAGTAAATTATATTGTACGCAAGGAGAGCAGAGGGTGGGCACTGGGGATGAGGGTTCTGTGGGGAAGAAGACAGTTGCAAGTTTAAACAGGGTGGCCACAGGTGGCTCCGTTCAGAAGGTGACACCTGAGTGCAGTCTTGAAAGAGAGGAGGGGTGAGCCCTGTGGATATCATGTGGATGGACATTCCAAGCAGGGGAACAGCGCAGCACAGGGTCACTCGGGCTTTGCAGGCTGCAAGGAAGCGAGTGGGGCTCGGGCGGCGTGAGCGAGAGGAAAGGAGCCGGGGCTGGTGTGTGACAAGGGAAGGACTAGGCTTTCCTGCTGAAAGGGGGCCACAGTGAAGGTGCCAACCAAGGACAGCTGCTCAAGTAATGCCTGCGAGAGGTGAGGGTGCTCGGACCAGCTGGGGGCAGTCAGGTAGCGAGAAATCGCTTGTCGGCATTCTTGGGAGGCCGAAGCAACAGGGTTTGCTTACGGGCTGCACGTGGGCTGTGAAGGAGGGGAGGACGCCCCCAAGATCTTCAGCCTGAGCAAATGGAAAGATGGAGTCTCATCAAGAGAGAAGAGAGAGCGCAGGCTTCGTGAGGGAGACTAGGGGCTCCATCTGGGGTTACCTTTGAGAGATCTCTCAGACACCCCTGCGCCGCCGTGTGCAGAAGTCGGGTGCACAAGCCTGGGGTCCAGAGCAGGAAGTCTGGTGTGCAGCGTGCGGCGAGGAGGAGAGCTCTGAGAAACTGCTTGTCAGTCAGAGTCAGGTGCACCCTGGGTCCTGTGGGCACCCGCCGCAGGGTCGCTCGCCCTCCTGCCTCTGGGGCTCGTCCGCGCCGTTGCAGCCCCCTGAAGGCTTGCCCTGCGCCTGCTCTCCCACCTCTGCCGGGGACCAGCAGCGCCCGGGAGACCACAGCCTTCTCCTTTTCGCCTCTCCTGCTCCCACAGCTGTGTTGACCCTGGGCCCCGTGTTGGCGCCCCTGACCTCTTGTCCAGTGTGGACCTTGGGGCGATCATTCTAACAACGTATTTGCTGCATCTGTTCCTTGCCGAACCCCTAATTCTGTCTATCTTTAATGCATTCACTGCTCACAGAGGGGTGCATGGACCACGGCGCGGCCACCCCCCTCCTGTTCTGCAAGAAGTGCAGGATCTCAGACCCCGCTCCAGACTCACCGGCCCAGAATCTGCATTTTACCAAAATCCACATGACGTGAGGGCAAAGTACCACCTTAGAGTTCACTAAGGCCGACACTGCCGAAGAAGCTTCATGGTTCTGGTATGAAGTTGACCTAGATTTACTCCCTATGAAGAACTTAGAAGAAGACCTCTTTCTCTGCTTTACTTTGGGACTAAATAAGCAAAGGGGAAAAGATAAATTGTACCTGGCTTATGCAAAGAATCACCTCAGGCTTGAGAACGCTAAAATCCTTTCTCCAAAAGGACGCAAAACTCCGGACGGCCATTGGCGACATCCTTGGCGCGTCGGTGTCTGGGTGACTGTGGGAGAAACAGCTTCAGTGCCTGTGGATCCAAAGCCCCCCAGCTCTCGCCAGGCTAGATGATAGAGGGGGACCCAGGGGGCTTCGCAAGGAAGGAGGTGGGCCCCCTGGGCTTTCTCGGTGACTTCAAGCCCCGACAAGGTGATGACACACGATTTAAAAAGAGGCAGAGGAAGAAAATGAGGATGAACACAATGTGTGGTTTTCCAAGACTATATTTCTTAAATGAAATTTATTTTTAAATTTCAAGTTTTCAGAGGAGGGACAAGGATAAGATATTTAACTGTGATATATATACAAATAATCTCAAAACCTGAATTTATTCAATACTTTTTATTTCTTCAAGCTTCTGAGAAGAAGAAAATTGGGTCAGTGCTGGCGCTGCCCACCCACCTCCCTTCCCTTGGGGACACCCCTGTGAGGTGTGCTGATGAAAATACAAATATATAAATATGTAATATAAATAAACATAACAAAATAAGTGGGAGCTGAGAAAGGAAAGGACTTGGATAATGCAGAAATTGTGATTTTGCTTTTGAACCTGTTAAAACTGAGTAGATGAAAGAGTAACAGTCACCAATAGAGACTTCAGTGCCGACACCGATCATTATACTGAGAAAACAAAGAACATTTCTAGTTTACAGAAATTTGTAATTGGATCTATTTCACAATTTGTAGTTCATAAAAATGAAAAAGATGTCCCTTACAATTTCCCTGGCCAGCTGACCGCTGTGTGCACAGCTTGCCAGCCTGTCAACTCCTGGCCCTGCGTCCGAAGCCCCATTTCCCGCTCTGCCCACGCAGCCAAGGCTCCCTCGCCCCAGGCCTCCAGCAGGTCCGCAGGGAGCTGGGGCTGGGCTTCCCCTCTGCTGCTGAAAAGCCGGGGCTGGAGCCCACCCAGGTGTTAGCAGGATCCTGGTGCTAATAAGGCCTGGACGTTGTTTTAACGTGATTGTGATGTAAACTGCTAGAAGAAAAATAATCATTTTTATCTGTATCTAGGAGCTGACTAGGTGGAACTTTTAAAACATACACTAATTCAAAATATTCTTGCTCTTGACTTTATGCAGCTTGATAATGGAACCTTACCACCCACAGTCAGTGGGTCCACCCTCCCCCCAGGGTCAGCTCTTCCAGGACCACCAAGAATGACTTTGGCCAGGTAAGGATTAAAAGTGACCATCATTTACATTAATGTGAGAGTTTCAGAGGCTCTTGCGTACATTTGGGATTTTCCTCCAAGTTGTAAAATTAGCTTTACCTGCAAAGCTTCACGACTTCTAAAGAAATGTACTTTACATGAAGCAGGACCACTGACACTGTTGCGTGCGTGTCTGGTGTGTTGCTGGAAAAGTCGGTCTCCGTTTTTTGCGCTCTGCCCACTGCCCTGTGCCCGTGTTTGGCAGCCTGCTGCCATCCGTAGCGCCATCTTGCTTTCACCTGTTTTAAGCTGAGCTGCTGCATTCCTTTTCTGCTGTCATCAGTGCAAGTGATGGCACGGCGGTCACTTAACATCCACAGTGGGCCTGGAGTGCCTTTCAGGCTGCCTCTGCCTGCTGCCTTCCCCACCCGGCCAGCTCGGGTCCAGGCGCAGGTGCCGAGGCACACGGTCCCCAGGTGGACATGGGCTGCACTTACCTGGGACCTCGTCATGCCATTTTAAAGTCATGTCTACAATCATAACTAAACTAATCAAGCTGGTTGAAACTCTTTGTCGAGTTAACATCCATGTGCTAACTAACGGTGGACGGGCCAGCTCTTTCCAGTCACTGCACCCTTTCGTCTGTTGTGGGGATCAATCTACCCCTGCCTCTTTTGGGTTTGGACACACGATCTAATGCCGCTGCACATCCCAGGGTCTGAAAGAAATCAGGTCAAGCACCTTCTGGAACGTAGACAGTGGCTGCTGGTGCCATCCAGGCTTCTGTGGGCGCGGCTTCCCCGTGGCGTTGGTAAGTACACAAATTGTTTGGGGACAGTCTGGCAGGCCAGAAGCAGCTGGGGTAGAGTTCTGAAGGCTTGCAGGAATTCAGGTGCCACGTCACCCCTGCCTGGCACCATGCTCACTGCTACAGCCTCAGTGCTTGCGGCTGGGCTGGTTGTAACACTGCACTGTTGGCAAATGACTTTCAGTTAATTTAATGGACTGTCCAAAGTCATTCTCCCCGCTTCACTGTCTTGGTGAGATGCGTCAGAGAGGATGTGGTTGTGATCATTGTAACTCGTCCTGTTGCCGTGGCTCTTCACATTTCTGGGCAAAACAAAACTGTGTAAGCAGCTCCTAGATTCTGCTGGTAGCATTAAATCCTTGCTTACACAGAGCGACCTGAGATGTTCTGCCGATCTTTTTCGAATTTGGGTGCCAGCACTCTTGCATCACTGTGCGCGTTAGGTCTAGAACATTCAAGGCAGCTGGGTGTTCCTGGTGCCGTGTTTCAGGCGTGTGTTCACAGAGCTGCGGCGTTGGAGGGGCAGCAATGAGGAAGGAAGTGGCGGCTGCAGTCTAGTCTTGTTTCCCTCACCTCCCCCACGCCAGCCTCCTACTCTTACTGGGTTTTCCCAGTCACATATCTTTCTTTATTTTGATGTAATTTTTCAGGTCATAAAATATTTATCTATAGTAAATATGTGCTAGGAACAACACAAACTTTGTGTTTGCATTTTTTTAGCTGCAAATAATTACTTGATGTGATGTCACTCCACTAACTCAGACTGGTGCTTTTTATCCCAGTGCCCACAGTCCTGGCGGTACCCTGGAATCTCCCCTGATTTATTGTCTGTGGGCAGGGAGCAGTCAGAAAACTGCTGGTTGTCTCATTCTGTCTGAGTTCCCAGCCACGACCAATTTGCTCTAACCCGTCACCTTTTTAGATCCTTCATTGCTGCCTTTTTGACTCCGCAAGATAACAAGGCAGAGCAGGTCTGCAGACACCAGAAAGGGAACTGCCAGCCCAGCCTGGTTCAGGCCTTTCTGGCCCATGCTTGACACAGAAGCAGGTCAGTTTGCGCCTCGTGTCCAGCGGCCCACGTGGGTGCATTCGCCCAATCATCATTCTGTAGAGCTGGGTGGCAAACGGGCTAACTTATTAACTAGCTTATCATATTAATAAAAATCCTCTTGATAAAAATTCATGCCCTGTCAGTCTGTGTAGCTTTAACAATCTGATTATCAGTCTGGTATTAATGTGAATTCTGATATATCTTTGATGCTATTATTTTTGGTAGGATATTGAACATTATAATAAAGAGTATTTGCATTCTGCTTCTCTGGAATTTTATTTCTTAAAGACGAGGTCATCCCTCATTGTGGTACATCTTACCCATGATGCTTTTCCAAGGCATTGTCCAGATCTCTTTAAACTCTTTACTTTTCAGATCAGCATTAGAGGGTATTAAATATTATTTAATGTTTAATTTTATTAGAATATTAAGTATTCTAATATTATTAGAACCATGGTTTAGATTCTCTTCTCCCAATTTAGATTCTAGTACAGTCAGCTTGGCCTCTACTGCCCTGCATGCACCCTGGGTTCCTAAAATTTTCTGAGTCAAAATCAGTAGACTTGGTAACCCCTTGGATGTGGATCAAGATAAAGGCAACTGTCAGAAATGACCTGGGGTCATGTCACCCTGTGGGGACTAGCACGCATGCAGCCTGGGAGAACAGCCTGGGCAGGGGGAGGGACGAAGCAGAAGGTCACCAGCTAAGCTTCGGACACACTGAGCTGGAGGCAGCAGTGTCTGATGGGGAGTCGGGGATGTGGTTCTGGAGCATCACAGTCACAAGCTGCTGGGAGCACAGTGCAGTGAAGGGGGCCTTACGTTTTCTAGTGAGGAGGTTGTTGATCGCCTTTGAGTCAGTGGGATGGAGAAGAGCTGAACGAAACCAGTTAAAGAATGACTGGGAGATGAGGAGGGATAACAGCAGATGAGGACAACACTTTCATGATGTTTGGGGAAGAAGAAAATGAGGATTTTAGCGTGGGAGACAGAGCAGGTTTAGTAATAAAAACATAAAATTTTTCATCATGAAGTTAAAAAAAAAAAAGGAGAGGGGGCAGGAGTTAACAAATGAAATCACCCAGCAAAGTGTGTAGAGTAAGGAAAGAGATGACCCTAGCCGGGACCACGGTGAGAAAACATAGTTTGATGAGCTATAAAATTCTAGATTGTCAGTTTCTCCTCTCAGTGCTTTGAAGATATTATTCTGCTGTTTTCCATTGTTTATAACAAGAAATGAGCTGTCAGTCTTAGATAATCTGTCTTTGATCTCTGGTGCTTTTAAGACTTTCTTTTTGTCTTTGGTTTTTCTTTTTACTTACCTTTCTTGGGGTTCTTTAGGTTTCTGAAATGAGAGGATCCACAACTTTCAACAGTTCAGGAAAATTCACAGCTCCCCTCACTCCAAATGTGCCTCTTTGATTTTCTCTCTGCTTTTCTTCTGTAATGCTCATCAGACATATATTTGCCCCTCTAACCTATCCACCATTTCTCTGTACCTCTTTTCTATACTTTTAATCTCTTTGTCTTTTTATGCTGTACCTGGATTTAATTTCTTTGTCTTTCAGTTTATCTTTTCTCACTTTTAAAGAGACAAATAATTATACAAGGTTTGGTACAAAAAAAATGTAGTTCCCTGATATTTCTTTCTATTTTCTGATATCTATAAACTTTCAACTCTTCAACTGAATCTTTTAATATTTGCCCCCATAAATCTAAATAACATGCTTGTATTGTTACTTCTAGGCTTTTGGCTTAGTCATGATCTCTTGTTTTTATACCAAGGAAGATGTGAATTTAACTCTGTTTCCTCTCCCCATTCACGAATAAGCCCTCTCCCAACACGCATATTCCCCGTACCTAGACATCAGATGCACAGCTGACCTTTGACCAGTGTGGGTGTTAGGGCTGCTGACTCCCCTGTGCAGTCAGAAATCTGCATATAAGTTTTGATTCCTCAAAAGCTTAACTACTAATAGCCTACTACTTATAAAGTGTATCGACTAACTTCAGATATAACAGAGAGTAGGAAAATAGAAAAGAAATATCCAGCAGAGAACAGAGAGCAAGCAGGGGGTGAATTAGCTGCTCTGCTGGTCCCTCCGGGGCTGACACCTGCCTGTGGGTGGATCAAGTCCAGGCTGGGAGGGGGGCACTCAGAGGGGCAAAGTTTTCAGTCTCCTTCCTCTGAGTTGCCCCACCTAGGACTTGGGCTCCTCTGCCTCTCTCAAATTTCAGAGTTTCTGCCTGGTCTAGACAGCAGCCCATTCGCTTAGTTGGTCATAGCCTGATGCCAGTAACACTGAAGTCGTGATTTCAATTCCCATATGGGCCACCAGGGGCAACATTTCTCCTTTTCCATTTCTATGAACCACATCACCCGGGGGATCTGCTGCCTTATATCCAATTACAGATACTGTATGTTTGTGGAAAAAATCTGCATATAGGTGAAGCTGCACAGTTTGAGGCAGTTAAATCAGTATTCAGTGCTTATATTTTATGACAATGAAAACACCACTCATTGCTGAGCCTTGAATGATCATCATTTTCCCTCAAGTTGGTACTTGGTCTTCTGCGCCCGTAACACAGACCGACCCCTCCCCTGGTCGCAGCCCAGACGCACCAGGGACCCGGTCAGTCGTGTCTCGAGGAAGCTTGTCTCCACCTGCGACTTGTCTCCAGGCCTGCGGCGCCGTGCTTGTCCGCGAGGCTCCCTCCGGCCCGGGCCCCCTCCTCTTCCTCACGTCGGCTCCTGTTCACCGCCTCGTTCGTTCGCCGTGCAGTTTCGGTGCATCTGTCCTTCCTGAGAAAGGGTGCACGGGAGGTGATTCTTTCAGAACCTACATGTCTAGATGTCTTAGTCTAGACTCACATTTAGACGATCATTTCGGATTAGGCTGTTGGATTTCCTGTACTCACACTTAGATGATTGTTTTGGATTTTGGGTGGTTGGGTTTCCAACTTTGATTCAACTTCAAATAATCCCTTAGGATTCTGAAGGCTTTGCTGAATTTTCTTTTAGTTTCTAGTGCTGCTATTGACATTTTGACACTATTCTTTTTCTTGAACCTTTGTATGAAACCTGTTTTATTCTTTCCAGCACCTTATAGGACCTGCTTTTTATTCCTGGTTCTCTGAAATTTAATGACAAGATATCTCAGATTGGGTCTTATTTTCTAGAACATCTTTTTTATATTCTGAGTGTTTTAGTAAGCATCATTTTCTTGTCTCCTGGATGCCATAACTTTTCTTTATCTTTCCAAAGCTATTGATGATTCCCGCTGGCTTTTTTTCTCTGCATGTTTTCTTTAGGCCTTTGTCTTTCATGTCGGTAGATCTCTTAACACGTCTGCTGGTCTTTGGCTGCTCCTCTGCTCATACTTAAGAATAATGCATAAGCTGACTTGGGGACTCGCTGTATCAATGGGGGCTCACTACTGGGGCTTCACCATTGGGCGCTATGACTAAGCCATTTATTGGGAAACCTCAGTGTTGGACTCTTTCTATTATTTTCTCTGGGGCTAGTCAGAGGTCTCAGAGAAAGCTTTTCCAATCTCCTCTTAGAATTCTAGATGGTGAGTAGAGGAAACCCAGGGTCCCAGTGTTCCCCTTTCCTCTCTTTGCCCGCTGCAATACCAGTCCTCAGTTGTCTTACCAGAGAGTGACTTCAGCCTTTTACCAGGCATGCGGAGGCTGAACCCAGCTGCCAGAAGGGGGGAGCCTGGGGGCGCACTGCCCCCAGAGGGGACTTCAACCGGGTCTTCCCTTCTCTCACCCACTTCCCCTCCGCTTCAGAGCGGCCTGGTTCCGTGATTCCGGAATCTCCAGAGCCGCTGCTCTGCTCTCCCCTCCTGGCCCGGGAGTCAGGGTTCTCGTGTTTGCGGCCATCGACCTCTGACCCTCTGCTTTCAGCCTCCAAACCTCCTGTCATTGCCTCCTTTCCCCGCAGCGGTTAGGAAGGCTTAGGAAAAGCTCTCATATTGTTCCCTTGCACTCCAGACTGGCCCAGAAGGGGATGTATCTCTGCTCTCTGTGGCGTAAATTTGTGGGGAGCTTGCCTTTCATGGATCCACAGTTTATGTGGGGGACGGTGTCTCTGATCCCTCCCACCTTTTGTAACCCAGACCTTGTCTTCTGCCTCCGGTATGAGCAGCCCATCTGGACCAAGCCCTGGGTCTCTGGCGACCAGCAGATGCCCCAGGACAACATTTGACAGCTAGAGAACTCACGCCTCTGGGCTCACAAGTTGTTTTTTTCACTTCTAACCATCTCCTTTACTCTCCTCTTGACATGCATTTAAAAATATTATGTTTAAAAGTTAAAATAAATGCTAAAGGAAGAGTATTTAAGAATTCTATGGTGGGAAGATTTCTACAGACGCCTAGTCTACCATATTGCCAGACCACAGGCCCTCCTGGCACTCACGCAGCACTCTGTGGCAGCACGCCTACCCAGTAGGAAGGGCACCCACACGATCTTCAGGGCTTCCCCCAGGCAGTTCTTTGACACTGACAGCTTCATTGCCATGACCTCCATTTCACGTCATAAGACACTGACTGATAAAAAAAAAAACTCTTACCAAGTAACATGGGAAGCTGGTGGCAGAGTTGATTTGTTAGGGTCCAGGACTCCGGGGTTTCCCAGAGAACAAGACACACGGACATGGAGATGAAAATCCAAGCAAAGTCTTTATTCAGCCAGCAAGCTGGGGTTGACAGCACCTCCCCTGACACGCAGGCCGAGTCCGAGCTGCCGACCCCAAAGCAACTTTGGGTACTGATTATATAGGATCTTCACAGCCGTTACACCAAAGCCCGCGCACTTCTACAACTAATAGGTTTAAAACACACTCTATATTGTAACCAATGGGAAACATTGTAACCTTTTTAGGGAACGCGCCAGTTGCCTGCCCGCTTCAATTGTTATCTCTTGCTTACCCAAGCATGTCTACGTGACTTATCACGGGTTACATCCCCAGGCGTACCCAGGCTGTTGCCCACTTCTAGTTATCTAACTTAGGGTAGGCGCATTTCTCAGAAGCCTCGGGTAATTTACACAAGAAAAAACTGGGTGGCTCTCGCTCTAGGCAGTCAGGTTAAGTGTCATTAGTTCTTTTTCCTGACTCTTGATGCTCTGCACTCCGTTACAGATTCTATATTGATGTTCTTTTGAATGAATCACGCACTCAGAGAACAATGTGAGTCTTCTCTAGTCACAGACGGAAGCCTTAGGGTGGCTGACGGGCTTTGTAAGCCTCTCTGGGGTTCAGGTTGTAGGTGAGATATCAGGAGTCCTTCCCATACCTGAATCTTTGCATGAGTTGAGGAAAGTGTCTCATCCCCATCCGTACTGAAAACAGTAAACCACAGGCTCGTGAATGCCCTTGATGCCCAGCACGGGGCAGGCGTCTGACAGGAGCACGGGAAGCAGTCAGTGGCCATTAACACTGATGGGTCTTCCAGGAAACCCATTTGAGGAGGTCCTCTGAACTGCCGTTCTGCTGCTGAGTAAGGCCCCTGGGGCCTCCAGCCCCCAGGGCACAGTGGGCACGCCTCAGAGAGGCTCTCCTGACACAGCTGTCTGTGCGGTCTGACTCTTGAACAAGCCTTGCACTGCACCGGTGTGATCCCATCATCTCAGGCATGTCTTTCTTCCACGATTCATTTCTCTTTCCTCCCACACTGACACAGAATAAAAATAAGATAAAGTCTAGGCCAGGTTCGACCTCTGGTCCCACGAATTCTCACTCACAGTCAATGTCTGGGCAAGACGGGAGCTCATCCAGTCTGTTGGATGGATCAGGACAGTCAGTGGGAAAATGGTTCTTTATTATTTGGTGTTTCCACCCACCAACTTTCAGGGGCATTTTAGGTCAGGGACGATTAACCTCAACAGACGTTTTTCAGGAAATCATTTTGCTTTGCAAACACCGTTATGAAACCAGTGGTTTTCACAAGTTTTTCTTCTGTGCTATTCACTGGAGAGCATCGTCCCAGCATCCAGCCGGTCAGAGTCATCGGTGTAGACGTGGTGGTGGCCGCGGCGGGTGGCCAGCTCTTCCTGACACACCCGCACCAATGTTGCTTCACGGCTATTCCGTCTGTGCCGGTGATGCACCTTTTGTTTTCTTCTCAGGTACTGTGATTGCTTTGCCAGTGGGGACTTTTGCAGCAACTGCAATTGTAATAATTGTTTCAACGATTTACGTCATGAAATGGAGCGGTTTAAGGCCATTAAGGTAACAAATGTCCATTAAATACATGCATTTTAAAAGTGTTTAAAAGTGCTTGAGATGTTCATAAAACTGTCTCCAGAGATTCCTGATTTCAATATTGGGGAAACCCAAGGTGCTGAGCATACATGGAGCGTGACTCTATTCCTGAAGGTGGAGTTGGCCCAAGAAGGGCTCGCAGAGAGAGGTGCCCGCTCCTGCCAGTGTGCAAGGGCTCGGGGGTGCAGCACCCTCAGAGGGGTCCCGCAAAGAACATGCACCTGTCGGCTTTGCCTTGATTCAGGGTTTAGAGATTTGGGCCATGCTGCGTATCAGACAAGCCCGAGCTGGAAATGCATCGTCTGAAAAGGCACAGGAAATCATTTGCTTTGCAAACTCCAATATTATGAAACCACTGGTTTTCGCTAGTTTCTCTTTGTTCTGAGCTAGTCACTGGAGAGTATCATCGCAGTTGGTCTAGTTTTCATAAAAAGGAATCAGAGTCCACTGCACAGAGAAGTGGGTGAGAGCCCTCTGCTGTTACCTTTGTCCAGTTTTTATTCCTTGGCTTCTGGGTGAAGGGGAGAATGTAGGCTTTCCTCAAGGGGCAGACAGCTCCCCAGATTGCCCCACAGGCCACTTGTGGAAGCTCAAGTGCAGGAGCTTCATCCCTTTCTTTGGGCACAGAAGATGGTCAAGGAAGGCAGGACAGTCAGCCTGCCCAGGGCACAGCCTGGGCCCCTAGTTCGCAAAGAGAAATTGAGGGCCACCACCCATAGACTTGAGGCTTCATAGTGTGTCATGCGGGGGCTGTTGTGTTTTCTAAAATAATTTAATTTCCCTTTCTAATTATAGATAAATCAGTTGTAAATATCCTCTCAATTTTGGTATAGCCCAATCATTGGACAGAAAAAAGTTATGATGCATCCAGACTTCAGTGTACAGTTGGCCCTTGAACAATGTGTGTTTGAACTGTGTGGGTCCACTTATGTGCAGATTTTTCTCAATAAATGTATTGGAAAATTTTGGGGGGGATTTGCAATAATTTGAAAAAACATTTTTATCTTTATTGTAAGGTACTGTTTGTAATACGTATAACATACAAAGCATGATGATTTTCATTGTCTGTTTATGTTATTGGTAAGGTTTCTGGTCAGCAGTAGAGTTTTTGCAGAGTCAAGGGTTATATGTGGATTTATGACTGTGTGGCCGTGGGGGGTCAGCACCCCTGCACCCCTAACCTCCTCGTTGTTCAAAGGTCAACCGTAGCAGAATTTTTTCTAAGTGAAGAGTGCTGTCTGCAATTCAAAGTGTGAAAAGTGTTATTTAAGAAGTTCTGGGATTCTCAGGTATTGCTGGAGAGGAGCGTAGCCAGTACGCCACACCAGGACCTTGAGTGGCAGTGGCTGCTAAGGCTTGACCTTTGTATGCATTACGGCCGGTGGTTTCATTCCTACTAATGTAGCTAATAGAAGTGAGCGCACGTCCCCCAGAGGCTGGGACAAGGTTCACAGCAGCATAATAGTCCCATCAGGAAACACCCCAGGTGTCTGTCAGCAGTGAGTGGACAGGGGTGTTAAGGTAATCCCATGACGGAATCCCACCTGTCCATGAGAAAGGAAGAACTAGCACTGGGCGGACAGGTGATGGCCTCACGCACTGTGCTGATGATAGAAGTGGACACAGAGGACACAGCGAGGACACGCGTGTGGCTCCGCTGAGCTGAAGCTCCAGGGCGGGTGAGGTGAACGCAGGTGGGTGGTCAGAGCGGTGGTTCCCCAAGGGGCTGGGTTGATGGGGGACTGGGCTGTCCTCTGAGTTGCCCTGGGTAGGGGGTCACTAAGGGGTGCACAATGTGTTCCAGTTAATATCACACTCTGCCCGCACATGAGTGTGTTCACTGTCCCTCATACGTCAGTAAAATGTAAAAATGCACAAACAGAGCAGCCTTGCTCCAGGCCCATCTGTCCACAGGACCCTTTGTGGCCATAGGACTTTCTGGTGTTGGGGTCTGGACCCCCGCTATTAACCTGGGGAGGGGACAGGGAAGGGCAGGGATGCTACTGTGCCATTGTGACTGGGTGATGCTTGAATTTTTATGAAGAGCATTGGATCACTTTGTTATTAAAGATATTTGTACACTTGTATGTCTAGATGGATGGTGGACAGTAGATAAAAAAGTTAAACACACCAGGATAGAGAGACTGAGTCCCTGGTGTGGTGTGAGCATGGGGACATGCCAGCTGCTGTTTAACCTCTTGGCCCCACTGTCGTCATCTGTGAGACAGAAATGGGAGTATATCCCTCAGAGGTCACTACGAGGACCGACAGGGAGGATGCACGTCAGTCACCCGGAAGGGCGCCTGGAACACAGTGGATGTTCAGTAGATGGAAGCTGGTGGCAGAGTACCTTCACCCCAAATATCTCACAGAAATACCAGAAGGAAATGTGTCCACATGCTTGTCTTCACATCTTTACCATCTGCTAATTTAACAGTGAATTTACAATAATTTTAGAATAAATATATAAGACTTTGAAACTCAGGAGAAAAAACAAAGCCTGAAGAAACTGTGGCTATAGCGTTCCCTTCTGGGTGTAAAGGAATTAAAATGAAATCATTTCTCGACTATGAAGGAGACGCACGGCTCACTGGGCCCCTTCCACAGGGACCAGCAGATTAGAATGGCAGGCAACCAAGATGCCCTTCACCGGATGCTGTCCTTAAATAATAATAAAATACATCCTGACGGGGTTGCGTGTTTCTGTCTCAGGCATGTCTTGATAGAAACCCAGAAGCTTTCCGATCAAACATTGGGAACGGAGGACTGGGGGATGTCAGGCCTCGTCGCGACAAAGGGCATGATTGTAGGAGGCCGGGCTGCCTGAAGAATCGCTGTGAGTGCTATGAGGTCAGTGATCCATTTCCTGGTATGACTTTAAAAAAACAAGTCAATATTTTGGCCTAAGTAACTTTTGTGGTTAAAAAAAATTACTGTAATTTAAAAGGAGAAATATAATTCAGTTTTCTTCCTCCCAGGGCACGTACATTAATCTGTATCAGTCTCAACATCAGTTGTGCCTTATGAACCGAGGACCTGGCCCCAGGGCCCTCCCACAGCCCCCTGCCCCCTCCGCCCGCCTGTCCCACAGGCTGCCGAGCCGAGGCCTGCGGGGGGCACCTGCCCGGGTGCTGTGCCTCGGAGGCCGGGAGCGGGGCGGCCGCGGCGGCTGCGGAGGTGCAGGCTTGCCCAGGGCCCTACCAGCGGGCAAGGGGCTGCCCGCCCCCCGGGTTCACCCCTGCCACCTCCCTCCCTGTCCCTCTCGCTTTGTGTAGAAGGAAGGGCGGAAGGGAGCCTGCGGGCCCCTTCACGAAGGGCCCAGAAACGCCCCTGGCAAAGCTCGCTCTGCGGTGCCTGAGGGCTCTGGGGCACCGGTGGCTTCATTTTTACAGGTTGTCGTAGAAGGTCAGTCTCCAGAGACGTCCTCACGACTCGGGGGCACCCGGTGAAAGGCGCGAGCAAGCACACCCACCCCTCTCCCAGCTGGGATTTTGAAAATGTAGTAAAAATATCAAGAGATACAGATTTCAAAACTTTCAGGGGGCGACACCCAGTGGAACTCTGCTCTGACGCACCCACGCCTCGTGTCTGCTCTCCGCGGTGCCCCTGGCTGCGGCGGGACGGTGGGGTCTCTGCCCACTCCTGCCCATGACACCTAGACGTGCAGGATAAAACCCAACAGAGACCCCCTGAGGGGCAGCGCTGAGCTGAAAAGAACGGGGCGTCCCGGGGGCTGGGCAGAGAGGAAGCCAAAGGCAGCGGCTTCCAGAGTGCCCCCAGTACTGGCGTGAGCAAGGTGCTTACCAGGCACAGCCGGGCACCTTGGCACCCCGAGCATCACGCTGCCATGTGAAAAGAAGCAAGTTCACCCGCAGGGAAGCAGGAAGGGCCTGCCCTCGGGTGGGGTCCCTATGGCAGCACCTCCCGCACTGCTGGAGGGGGCCAGGAGGCCCAAGGCGCAGCCACCTAGCTCGGGCTTTGTCCGGACATAACTCAGGTGCAGGGCTGTGCCTGCATCCCCAGTGGGCAAGGGACAGCGGCGGGACTCCTGCAGACTCAGGCCACACTCGGCCACCAGCCTCCTGAAGCCCTTACCCCCCTTGTCAGCAGCCTCGCCGTGACCCCCAGGGCAATGCCTCACCTCGTCCCACCGCGGCCATCACTCCTCTTCAGTTCTGCCCTTTTTCTGGTATGAAAATTGCAGATTCCACACACACCCCACACACACATCAACAGGGGACTACAGGTTCAAATCTAAGTTGTCGTTTTTTGATGAATTGTAGGCAACCTAATTATACTGAAGCATTTTATATTACCAGGCCAAGATTATGTGTTCTTCTATTTGCAAAAGCCCAGAACGAAAATCACTACTGAGTATGCCAAACTGTACGGAAGCTGGAGACTGTGAAGGTAGCCGTCATGTGTCACCAACTAAATTTTCAGGACTAGCAAAATTCAGAAAAGATAGGTAGGTCCTGGGAACTGACCCTCCTGCAGGGGAAAGGGAGGTTCCTTTAAGGGGAGTTACTTTATACTCTGGGAAGAAGGTGTGAGTCTCCAGGTGTCCCCGTGGAGCGGGGAAGAGGGGCTGGCCTCCTGCCGGACTCCCAAGCTCTCCCCTGTGAAGGGCCCACAGAAATGCTCGCCGGACATCCCAGGCATCCCGTATTCCTTACCAAAGCAGTGTGGCTCCACATTAGCTGGGTAGCTTCCCATTTAATTATTTTGAGGCCATAATACAGTTGTAGCAGGTCTCAAAGTTAGAGTAGTAATTTTACTGTATATATTCACCTATTTTAAAAAGTCTTTGAGCTCAGTGTGATGTGTCATGTCATGATAAAGTACCAGATGTCACTAATTAATATAATTGTGAAGAGCCAAGTCCATGCTTATTTGGTTAGAAAGACATCAGAAACTCACCGCTGTGGCCAGCAGAGATCTTTCTCCCTAAGAATTTCCCAAAACATAGCTGCATCTTCTGTGAAACGAAGTGTGGAGATGCTACCGCCCGACTCGGGGGAGTGTGCGGGTGGGGTGGGGGGGGAACAACATGGGGGCTGCCCCAAGGTGTCGTGGATCTTCTTGACCTGAAGGCAGCCCCGCGCTCTCATCTTTGCAAATTGCCTTCATGGAGAGATTGTAACCAATCCCAGCATCTATCTCTATTTTCATAATTAACAAACTGTAATACACTAGGAAGTTTTCCTAAAGTTGCTCAGTTTGAACACAAGGTGGACAACTGTGTAGCTGAGCTGTGGTTGCCGAGCTCGGTGGGGAGAAGGGCCGGTCCGGGGCGGCGGAGCGGAGCAGTCTTTCACCCCGCCTCAGGCAGTGCGCCTCCACCGGAGAGTCCTCAGAGCTGCAGCATCCCGCCGCTCCCGAGGCCAGGGCCGGCCTGCCCCGGGGCTCACAGTGTGCAGAGCTCACACCCGAGGCCAGGGCCAGCCTGCCCCGGGGCCCACAGTGTGCAGAGCTCACACTGGCTGCAGAGCCTGGCTCGGGGCCTGGATTGGGGCTCCTGCCTCTCCTCCCCTGGCGCTGCCCAGCCCTGCCCAGCCCAGCCCAGCCCAGGCTTGGCACTGTAGCCCAGGTCTTCTGAGTTCGTTAGTGGATCCAGTTTTAAGAAAATTTAGAATCTGACCTGATAGCGACATAAGAAGCTGACAGGTTCAGTGGCCTTGATATCACTCTTCGAAAAGCAATGATTTATATTGTTGCAGTGCATTGTTTCCGGTATTAGGAAGACAACATTTGATTTTAGCAGTGACATGCTTAAAAACACCATGACGAGCACGTGCCCTGAACATGAAAGGCGCTGACAAACCGGCGCGCCCATGACCTTACCTGCTCTATCCCCGCAGGCCGGCGTCCTTGTGCGTCTCCTGGGACGTGGTGGAGGCCGCGTGCGCCTGTCTGCTGGCCCAAGGCGAGGAGGCCGAGAAGGAGCAGTGCTCTGAGCGCCTGGCGGAGAAGAGGGTCCTGGAGGAGTTCGGGAGATGCTTGTCGCAGATTCTCCACACTGAGTTCAAGTCCAAAGAGTCGAACACCGAGTAGAGTACAAGGCAGGCAAATGGGAGCGCGTGTAGAGTCTGTCCCGGCGTTCTGTAGGAAATCTGACTCGGGGCTCTTTGAAGGCACGCGAAGCCAGGTCTGCACCATTAAAGATCGAGCTATGCCTCTGCGTCAGGGGCCGGGGGATTTGCTCAGAGCCCCAAGGGATTTGGAGAGCAGCCCCTTGCCGGGGAAGCACGCGGCGGCCCTGTTGTCTGGGCCCGAGGAGAGCGTGGGCTCCTGTAACCCGGGGGAGTCGCCTGCACTGGCTTGGGTGGTGGAGGGTGGAAGCGGGTCCTGCAGAGGGATTAAGGTCCATTCCTACTGACTTCACCCTCCCTCGGGCATTTTCCTGGGGAGGCTTCTCTGCATAAAACAGCCATAATGATTTTTCCCTAAAATCGTTTAGAACTAAACTCTCCAATGGGCTGCTAAGATACAATGTGGTATCTCTGGAGAACTACTGAATACTCTGAAGAATCTGAGCGTAGACAGTTCCCTAAAGCCACCTGGGCCATCAGCCTCTTCTCAGGCCCCACGGAGCGCAGACAGCGGGTCACCCTGGCCATGTGTGGTCAGTGGCACCTTAGGTTGTAGAACTGGAAGTTAGCTAGTTTCTTATGTGTTTCTATTTGAATTGTGGAAAAGCTCTATTATCCAATTAACTTCTCCATAATTATTGTTAAACTATTATTATTGTTTGTAAATTTTGGTTAAAATAACTAGTTTGTAGAAAACAGCAGGTAAGATTAGTTATTGCGTTGACTTATTTGGTTCCGTTTTAAAAGCAAAGAGGAATAAAAATTTCAAATTGTTGTGATTAACTTCGAGACTGGAAATACATCTGTCATGCTTCGGTGCTCATTGGCAGGACCAGCCCCCTGGAGGGCGTGTCAGGCAGCTGGCTCACCCACACCCCAGGGAACGAGGCGGGGCTGTGGGCGCAGACCCGGGCGGGTCACAGCCCAGGAGTCGAGGAGGGGGCTGTCGTAGAGCTCTGGCAGGGGTCCCAGGGGGGAAGAAACACGTGATTCCTCCCCACTTCGACCCCCTTTGACCCTTGGGATCCAGATTTTGTGGCAGAAAGCCCAAGCCCAAGCTAGGGACAAATACTGTAGACGGCAGTTTTCCCAAGGAGGTGTGCCGCCTTTGAGATGCCCCTGAAGGCTGCCTTCCCTCTCCTGTCCTGCCAACTGCAGTGCCCACCGGCCACACCAGCAATTCAAAGTATCCTGGGGCCACATTTTAAAAATGGAGAAGGAATCATTTATCTAACAGTATACCTGAAACACTATCATTTCAACATGCAGTCAAAATGACTGAGCACTTTCACATTCTTTTGTATGAACCAAATGTTTGACATTGGTGTATTTGACACTCACAGCACATCTCAGTTCACACCAGGCACATTTCTAGTGCACAGGAGCTGCTGGAGCAGGCGTGGAGGGACAGACGAGAGCAGCGCCCTCCAGCACTGTTCTGGGGCAAACAGCTACCCAGGAAGGGCAGCGGGTGTAGCCCACCTGCAGAGCCCGGAGGAAGACCAGAGGGAGCCTGCGCGGCAGCCTCAGAGCCCGCGCACCCACCTCGTGCTGGAGGCGGCTGTGTGTTCTGGGCTCGGTCTGAGTCAGGGCACTAGCTCACCTGTGGAGGCATGACTCCTACACGGTTTCCCACCTGCAGAGTTCAGTATGTCTCTAAGACTTTAGAGAACTCAGTATGAGAAGTAAAGGCCGGAGGAGTGCTGTGTGGAAGCCGCTGTAATGCTCAGAGGCAGCGTGACACAGGATGACTGAAAAGACAGCAAACCCAGGCTCTTGTTTCTGGTAGAGAACCAATACTATTTTAAAACTACACAAAAATTGAAATAGCCTGTCCCTATTTGCAGGAGTGGCCGTGCAGAGTAAACCACCTGTATCTCCTTAATAACTTGGCCACCTTTGTGATCAAGGTTAGAATCTCTGTTGGTTTTTTTCTGTTTGTCCAGAAATGCCACTTAACACGTCTTTTCAAGAATCTGAGAAAAACTCATGAAAATGACACATGCTAAAAGTAAACTGTTTCTCTATTAGGAGCACCTCTGACACCAACATGTGGCGTTTCCCTCCACCAATTCTCCAGCTCTCTGGACACCAACTGGGTCGCCTATTATTTGGTTCAGTTCTGACACTAACTGCCTGGAGTTAGTGTCAGATGACACAGGCATAAGGGCTCAGTCCTACCAGACGGCCCCAACTTCAGACACCAAATGCAAGCAGTGTCCCCAGGCTACCCAAACTTATGTCAGACTTGACTGCAATTGGCTTTCTAGGACCCCCCTTCTCAGGTTTGATAATTTGCCCTAATGGCCCAGGGAACTCAGGGAAACCCTCTGCTTAGTTTCCCAGTTCACTGGAGAGGATAGAGAAGGACATGAACGAGCAGCCACATGAAGCCCCTGGGCAAGGTGCAGAAGGCCCACAGCACCGAGCGTCTGTCCCCAGGCAGCTGGCATTGGCACGTGGATGGTGTCTTGCCGATGGGTTTCAGCCCCTGACAAGTTCACCAGGGATTCAGTGAGACCGAAAAATATAACAGTGAAATGTTCTTGGGGTGAAAGGGTTATACCCAACTCTATTCCCACGGTGGCAGGTCAGTCACCAGAATCCTCTCCACTCAGAATGAGTCTGTGTGCAGCAAGCCGGTCTCTGCCTCTGGGCCTCTCCACCCCTGCAGCCGTCTCAGTCTCTGCCCTCGGTGCTGCCACCACTCCAGTCTCTGCTCTGCTGCAGCCTTGCAGCCATGCCACCATGTCGCCCAGAGCACTGGGCAGGGCTCTTTATATAGAGTCAATAACAATGTATTGCCCACGCATGTGGGCAGGGCTAGCGGACCAGGGCCAGGTGGGAATCCTGGCCACAGGAACCTTCCCTTTATCCACATGGCGTCAGGAAACGGGGCAGAAACCAAATATGCATTTCCTACGCCACATGTGCTGGGACTTTTCTTTCCTGTCACTTAACCACAGTCTTGTAACCAGTACAGAAAGCATGGGGACAGAGTCACCATCCTTAGGACAGAGCCTTCTCACTGCAAAATACCGGCGGAAACCTGCTGGCTCGCTTATCTTGGTTCTGAAGCTCTTGATCCCTACAGGCCCTGCACCAGCACCCGGAAGCTGCCCATTTTGACAGCCGTTTCTATGCTCTAGGGAACAATCTCGGGCGGGTTTGTAGTTTTAAATGTTTTCTCCCAAGTCTTTAGCTTGTAAACTCTTCTTCCTCGGTAGGAATCTTGTTGATCCCGCGTATCAGCTTGGAGAGAACTGACCTCTTTGTTAAGAAGGAAAAGGAAAACCGCAGGGCTCACACCGTCCAGTCCCAGGTCCCCGGTGCCCAGCCGGCCAGCCCTGTGGCCTTGCGGAGGCTGACGCGTGTTTTATCACGAGGCCCGGGGCTTTGCCTGCAGAAGCCAGAGGGCCGAATCGACTCCACCTCCCTGAAAGCAGAAATCAGCGAACTTTTTCAAGTTGGATCGAAGGTCCTCAAGCTCTCTGCCTTCCAGAGCCTTCTGAGTTTTTATCATGGACAAAGCAGGGTAACATCCAGGCTAAAACAGACCATCAGACTCATTTTTTTTTTGCAGTGTATTTAAAACAAAAGCTGACGGGCTGTGCTGGAGAGCGGTCTGCCAGCCGCCGGCCTGCCCTGAAGCAGGGCCTCCTCAGCCCCCGGCCTCTCTGCCTCCTCTCTGACGGCCTGAGCTCCTTCCTCGAGGGGCCTTGGAGCAAGACCCTCCCTCTCTCCGACGGGGCAGCGCTGCCCTGCAGCCCTGACGCCGGGCGTGGGCGCTGGTCAGCTCTAGGAGCTCGCTGCTGGGTGGGGGCGGACGCCGCCTGGGTGAGCGGCCGCAGCGCCTTTCCCACAGCCTGCTGGTCGTCTAGATGGTCCTCAGGACCGTCTGCGCTGGTGGATGGCGAGCTTTTTTTTCTTGAAACCACGGCTATTTTTGGCAACTGATCATCCGCATGGCTGCTGCCAGCTCCAGACGTGTTCTCGGGGAAGTAGCGTCTCTTCTGTAGAACCACCCTGAGAGCCGTCACCTCGCCTAAGCGCCACCGCCGCTCCTGGGCCCCAGCCCCTTCCTCGCCGTCCAGCTGCTGTCCGCCCCTCCTCCGCATTTATCTCGAAGAGGAGGGAAGGGTTTGGAGGAGGAGGTGGGCGGCTGCAGGTGGGGTCCGGGGCCCGAGGCCGGGCCGCCCTGGCAGGTCACTCCTGTGCTCGGGAAGCACGCGTTTACAAGGCTCTCCTGCGTGCCAGGTGCTGCGCTGGAACCGTGTGGCCAGATCCGCAAGCAGGCTTGTTTCTTGGGGGCGCTACAGTGGAGTGAGGGGGACACACGAAGACAGGGCTAGAGTGAGGAGCGCTCTGATCAGGGGGATGCCGAGCTCGGGGTGGGAAGGGTGAGCGGGAGGTGTGTTCTTGAGAAGAAAACCCCAGAAGGGCCCCTGTGGGATGTGTAGGAGTTTGCCAGGCATAGGGTGGGATATGTGAGTGAGGCCAGGCCAGGAGGGGTTGGGGGGGTACTTGGGGTCCAAGGAGCCCACAGGGCAGGGGTGTTCAGGGCCACTGGCTAGAAGGGGGCAAGGCCAGAGGGAGGCAGGCAGGAAGGCTGGGCCGTGAGGAGGGAGGCTGGAAAACAGGCGGCGGGTGGGGCCTGCCGGCAGCAGAGGCTGTCCCGGGACCCTCATGAGTAAGGGGCACAGGGTCAGGCCCACCCAGGGCTCCTGCATCAGCCACACTGAGGAGCGGCTGGTCCTAGCGAGCAGGCAGGGCCTGAGCGTGGCAGCCCAGAGGGAGGGGCGGGAGGCCTGGGGCCCAAGGAACGCGGAGACTTGGAGCCATCTGGGGAACCACCAGAGTCAGGAGTGGACCAGGGAGCAAGGGCTCAGGACCCCCCCAGGGCACAGGAACCCCCCAGGGCTCAGGCCCCCCCAGGGCTCAGGACCCCCAGGACTCCCCAGGGCTCAGGCACCCCCAGGCATACCCCCAGGGCTCAGGACCCCCTAGGCCCCCCCTCAGGGCTGAGGCTCCCCCAGAGCTCAGGATCCCCCCAGGGCACAGGAACCCCCCAGGGCTCAGGCCCCTCCAGGGCACAGGACCCCCCCAGGGCTCAGGACCCCCCAGGCCCACACCAGGGCACAGGACCCCCCCAGGGTTCAGGACCCCCAGGAC